TTGGACACCGATGCAAGCAACAGTGCAATCGGAGCTGTTCTCTCCCAAATCCAAGATGGGCAGGAGAAAGTCATCGCTTACTTTAGCAAAGTCTTGTCGAAACCAGAAAGAAACTATTGCGTTACCAGGAGAGAATTGCTAGGCGTAGTAAAGGCTTGCGAGCATTTCCATAAATACTTATACGGCAGAAAGTTTCTTCTTCGCACGGATCACGCTGCTCTAAAATGGCTCCTACAATTCCGTAATCCAGAGGGCCAGATGGCAAGATGGTTAGAACGATTACAAGAATATGATTACGAGATCGAACACAGGGCTGGAAGAGTTCATTTAAATGCTGATGCGCTTTCGAGAAGGCCGTGCAGTGAACATTGTAATCACTGTCTTAAATTAGAAGAAAGACTTTGCCCCGTGAGACGAACCACCGTCATTAATGATCAATGGCAGCCTCAACAGCTACAAGACGCTCAAGCAGATGATCCATGTATAAAAAGAGTATTGGATTGGATGCGTCGAAGTGAAAGGCCCTCTTGGCAAGACATTAGTGCATGTAGTCCTGAAGTCAAGTGTTACTGGAGCCAATGGAATTGCCTAGTGTTAAAAGATGATCTTCTTTATAGAACCTTTGAGAACGATGATGGTACAGAATCTAAGCTTCAGTTGATTGTACCTAAAAGTAAAGTGTCAGAAGTATTGCGTCAGTTACATGACGGTGCATCAGGTGGACACTTTGGTATTACGAAGACTCTGCAAAAGGTTCGAGAACGGTTCTATTGGGTGAACTGTAAAGATGATGTAAGAAGATGGTGCCGGAAATGTGAACTGTGTGCAACCAGTAATGGTCCAGTTGGTAAAAAGAGGGCACCCATGAAACAGTACAATGTTGGTAGTCCTATGGAAAGAGTAGCAATCGACATTGCAGGTCCACTTCCAGAGACAAACGATGGAAATAAATATATCCTGGTAGCCATGGATTATTTTACAAAATGGACTGAGGCCTATGCGATACCAAATCAGGAAGCTGCTACCGTTGCAGAGGTACTTGTTAAAGAATTCTTTAGCCGATTTGGTGTTCCCTTGGAGATCCACTCCGACCAAGGGCGAAACTTCGAGTCGACCCTTTTCCAAAACGTTTGTAAATTGATTGGTGTCAATAAGACCAGAACGACACCCCTGCATCCTCAATCAGATGGAATGGTCGAGAGAATGAACCGAACGATGGGTAAACACCTGTCCAAAGTTGTATCAGAACATCAAAGAGATTGGGACCAGCACATTCATTTATTCCTAATGGCCTACCGCTCGGCCGTGAATGAAACTACCGGCCAGACTCCAACCTGCCTGATGTTAGGTCGTGAAGTTCGTTTGCCCTGCGACCTAGAGTTTGGCTGCAGACCTTCCGAAGAACATGTTGCAAGCGAAGATTATGTCGACCGCCTAAAGTTAAGAATGAACAACATTCATGAACTTGCCCGACAACACATCCAGTTAGCCAGTGACAGAATGAAAGATCAATACGATTCTCGATGCAAGAATAAAAGCTATGAAGTAGGTGATCTTGTTTGGCTTTATAATCCCCAACGTCGTCGTGGCTTGTCTCCTAAACTGCAAAGACAATGGGAGGGTCCATATGAAATTAAAAAGAGAATAAATGACGTAATATACCGAATTAAAAAGTTACCGAAAGGTAAACCAAAAGTAGTTCACATAAATCGGCTTGCACCTTATGCTGGCTCAAATGAAACAGAAGAAGCACGAATCCTTCAACATGAGATCGAAGATGACCGGCGACCAAGCTTTAATGAATTTATGTCAAATTACGCAGAGAGAAAGAGTGCTAGATTCGGCGTGACGACAGAAGTTCAGCAGGATCTTTTTAGTGTTCCGCATAACGTCACTCTAGCCCACTGTGTTGCCCAAATCTTGAGATGACTAAAGGAATCTCATCCGTATTTTATAAGAAGTTCGGTCGTTTGGACGAGTTAAAAAACCAGCAGCCTAAAGTTGGAAGAGTACTGAGATTAGAAGATGGTTCTCGATCTTTGCTGTATATGGTGACCAGGAAGTCGTATACAGACAGGGCAACCTACGAGGATATATGGTGTGCTCTAACTAATTTGAAGAAAATCGTCTGCAATTACGACATTAAGAATTTTGCCTTACCCAAGATAGGCCATGCACTAGATAATCTGGATTGGAAGATCGTCAGAAGCATGCTAGAAGTGATCTTCCGAGAAACCGGTGTAAGAATTACCGTGTGTTGCACTAATCCAAAGAGATTGTGTCCTTCAAAGACAGTAGACTGTTATTTCTTTCTGAGGGGTTCATGCAGAGCTGGAGAGTCCTCTAGATTCCGCCATCCTGGGCCTACATATAGAGTTGCTGATCGGGACGCTCAGATCTAAGAGGGGAGCAGTGTTACGAACGTGCATTTAACGAGGCACGTATAACGGTTGCATCTCGAAACAGCACCTCATGCTTCCATGCGGCGCGGCGGCATCTCGAAAGCGACTCGATATTTCGAGAAAGATCAGTCACGTATAACGCCTAGAGGTGGGAACTTTCTAGAAAATAGTAACTTTGGTATATATATGTAACGATCTTAGGAGTTAGTTGAGTTGATAAGAGAGTACCGAACTGTAAAGTTATAAATAAATATATTTATATAAATTCGAACCGCTCGTTTTATTTAAACACGCTATATTATTTTTAGTAAGACTTTCATTTCTGTTGTTTCCAGCAGTCTTTGTGTTTTCGCCGTATCTGCTCTTGTTTCCGCTGTGTACGTCATTATCGGTCTTATTGTTGATTTATATATCCTGGTTTTCGTTTCCGTTGTGAGCTATTTGTTTCTCCAGATTGTGTTGTTGAGACATCCTGCTGCTCTGTTTGCCATGTTCACTTGTTTTTGTACTTCTTCTTCCACTTTTCCGTAGCTTGACAGTTTTATTCCCAAGTATTCAGTTTCCATCACTTGTTCTATTATTTTGTTATTTACGACTAGTTTACATCGTCTCGATTCCGCTGATATCACTATCGCTTTAGTTTTCTCTGTTGAGATCACCATGTTGTATATGAGCGCCGTATCTTCGAATTCTTTAATTAATCTTTGTAGGTCATCTTCATTTTCGGCTGTTATTATGGCGTCGTCGGCGTAGCATATTATCCTTATTTCCTTTTCTTCCATTCTATATCCTCTTCTATATTAACTCCATAAAGAAAATAGTTTATTTATATGAAAATCTGTAAATTAGTTTTGTAAATGGGTTTTCATCTGTAAATTTATAGACTGATTTTCGGATTGCCATACGTTAGATTAATTCTTACTTGCTCCTTGAGTTTCGAAAACACCTTTCGCACGTCTCTTGTAAAATGAATCACTGTTGCCTTGCAAGGCCTAATTGAACAGCAATGGTGACAAGCGTCTTGATGTCTGAGTCCTGATGCTGTACTAAATGGCGGTTCTGTTTCCTATATTTACCTGTGAATATAAGTTTGTCACGCACAGTAGTGTTCTATCTATCTAATCAGCCTTAAACGCCCACTCTTGGACATAGGCCTCCCCTGTTAATCTCCATTGGTCTCTATTTTGGGCGATCTGCATCCAGTCCTTTCAACAGTTGTGTTAGCTCCATTAATTTTCTTGATATTTTCATTCCTAGCATCGCTAGCCACATCCTACTACTTTTTACGGAACCATATGCTTACTGGATATCAACAAAGATTTATTTATCTTTGGATTTATAATAAAAAACAGATACAGTTCCTTGCGGCGTAGGAAGAACTGTTTGCAAGTCATAGACTGATACAATGTAATTGGGATTAGCCTTCGCCTTTTCTTGGCCCTTTTCTTTTCTCGATAAATCTTTTTCTTCCAAATGTAATACATACTTGTGTTCCAATATTTCCTTAACTTCTCCTATGGTATTTTTATACCCATCACACAACTCACAGCAATCTTTTCTGGGTATAAAGAAACTAGTGTTAAACTCTGTGTTAAAATTTTTTGAGAACATCACTAAATTTGCGTGCGGTAGATTGTTTTCCTGGCAATTTTGTTTATAGTCATTAAATATATCAGTTAAATTTTTCCACCTTCGATGTATTCCCTATTGGTTTGTATGCGAAGATAGTGGCTCTCAATACGAGGAATCGATCGAATGTGCTCACGAACTCCGTCTTTAATCGATAGATCCAGTTTTTTATGGTTTTTGTGTTTACCTCTTAAGTCTACTCTCCAGGAACCTTTTTTCAGCTTTGTCAACGACCGTTCTTGTAATTCGATTGTTGATATCTAGCGTAGCCATAAAAAAGTATTTACATACGCAAACTTGCTCGTTATTATTTATATGAAAATAGTATGCATTATTATGTTGTCTAGGCCTCTCTGCACTGCTGTACCTGTACGCTGGTTTGACTGGTTTCATGCATTTGTAAATGAAATCCCTCTGTCTATTTATATTTTACAGGGCCCAATATTTTTTAAAAATAACTTTCCTTATATTTTCATCTATTTTATCAGATCATTTTAGCCGGCATTTATCTCCACAAGCAGGTCTGATACTCCTGGCAACAATAGGTTTTTGTGAATTAGATCTTGAGGTATATGATTGGTCAGAGTTTCGTAATTTCTTAGCTTTGTTACTTAACCAGTTTTCTGCCACTGCTACTAGCTTTTTCCCTCTTTTTTTAGGATTGGCAATTTTGGTGTCTGCTGGATGAGTGTTTGCTGGTTGGGTGTCTGCTAGTTGAGTATCTGGTACTTCAATCCTGATCCTTGTAAGTTTGCTGCTACAGTGTCTGCAACTTCAACGTCTCGTACTTGAATGCTTGCTGCTGGAGTATTTACTGCTTGAAAGTCCGCAAGTAGAGTGTCAGCTACCTGGCTTACATTGTGTGAATCCGACAAGAAACCATTGCAACCTGGACTATAATTACTGCTTGAGCTAGAATTATCACTTGATGTAGAAGAGGAGGACGAACTAGAGCTACTACAATCTGATTCATTTGTATGGATCTTTTATGGAATCATCATCATTATCGCTTACGAAGTCCGAGATTTGGAATTCGTCTTTCCGTTCTGGTGAAAGGTCAACCCGTAATAATGATGTACCAGGCTTATTATTATCGTTATCCGTAGCTATAACATAGTTTGCATTATCATAAGAAACAAGTGCAGCATTTTTCTCTTCTAAAAGATGTCTTTCTGAGATTTTTGAAAAAGAAGAAACATTATTATAACTAAAATAAAAACTTTAGGCACTTTATTTAGGCATGCTATTTTTTTATTTTTCAATATCAAATTACCTGAGTTTCGCACTTGATCTGGTGCATAACTCTCTGATTTTATTTTCTTTGCAAGGCCATAATTTTGCTTATCCTTGAACTCGATGAACTTTGCATGTTATGAAACCAGCCTGTTTGCTGCAACAAAAATAATAATAAATAAAAACAAGGAAGGATAACGTACAGTCATAAGTGCAAAAGTATTTTCCTCATTTACAACTTCGAAAAAACTGTCACAACACAAAAAAGAACAGTATTTTACTTATTGAAATAATCAGAATAACTAGTAATTCACACTAAAACTGTTACAATTCTAAATGTGACTCTTTTCAGGATTAACCACTACGTGTAGACTGTTATAAAGTCAAAGGTGATACTGTAGCGGAATGCTTGCTGAGCTAACCTGTAAAAAACAAAAGTGTCACATCGCCATCTCGCGGTAAATAGTTAAAATATAAAAGAACCGCTTTTATGGAAAAAAGTACGACTTGTTTTAATACTTGTAGCATGTTCATCTCAATAATGGCGATTTTTGAGTCGTGACTCTTTTTTGTTTGTTACAAAACAAACAATTGGATTTCGTAAGATGAACGTGACCGGAAACGGAACCGGAAGTCGATGTTTCAACTGTTTCGTGTCACTTTGCGTCCTGGAAATATATTTTTGTTCTCGTCTTGCTATAGTGCGGCAAATATTTCTGCGACTTTAAAACAGGACTTCCGATTTCAACTCTGGAGTCGAAAGTCCGAGGTTAAACTTCACACCTTTAATATCATTTTGGTTATAAACTCTCATTTGACTTCTCATTTGTAATTGTATCTATTTTAATGACAGAGAAGTTGTGTTCAACGGACGGACAGACACATGGATAATTCAATGTTTTAATGTTGTAAAATGGCGGAAAACAATATTTAGAGAAAAATTTTATTCAATAAATTGTTACAGATTTATAAGTTAGGAATAGTGTTAATGTATGCATGTTTCAAGTATTATTTGATGCCGTTCTGCTGCCTAACGATAGAACCACCTTAGTTATCTGGTATCCTATATATTCTTGATGAAGATAGCAGAAATGTAATTGCACCAAGTTAACAACCAAAACATTATGTATCAGTCGTTGATTTTTTAAATGAATATTTTAGTATTGAGTAATGCGGCTAAGTTATCATGTCAAGTGTACATTATCTTATTTTAAAACGTGACTTAAACTTTTATTTAAAATTTTGATACAAACAAATCACAATGAGGTCAACAATGAAGATAACATTTCTTGAGAATATATTAAACGTAAAAGATTTGCTTAAATGTTATGCATATGTTGCCACTAGCCATTATCCAAATGCTATCACCAATTGCAGATTTATACTGTAGGGCTAATGGACCTTAATGTCATTTCTTTGCGTAGGGTTTATTCTTTAAATAGTATTGAAGGCATTCTTCAGGTATTGAGTGATATATACAAAAACGTTAATTAATGTCAGTACTAGTATAAACATAGATAAGGAATAATTATTGGGAAAACCCGCAACGTGAATACACAAGAAAATAGATAAAAAAAATCACTAAAGGAGCAATCATCGAGCAAAAAGACAATAGAGGGAATGTAAAGGTAGTGGGGGCAAACATATTGTTAGACAGGAAGTGCGATCTTTAGAGGCCACATTAAACAAGGAAAGAGAGTCTCTCTCCTTGTTTGACATCAAATTTAGTTGGGTTATGTTATTGTTTGTCCCAAATGTCACATGAAATCTTATTTATATTGAAGTTTTTTAACAATTGTGTCGCATTTTAGACTCTTATCATTAATAATTAATTAAAACTTTCTCGTCTAAGACACATTCTGAAAAATATTATATAGCTACTGTTGATAAGTGTCGGAAAATTTAAATTTGGCGCATTCGCATTTCCGGATATGTCCGCCATCAGAGGCCACTTTTTTGGTCTCCTTTTCATAAGGATTAGATTCCCTCTTTTGTCTTATTGCTCGATGGGAGCAATCATCGAGCAAAAAGACAATAGAGGGAATGTAAAGGTAGTGGGGGCAAACATATTGTTAGACAGGAAGTGCGATCTTTAGAGGCCACATTAAACAAGGAAAGAGAGTCTCTCTCCTTGTTTGACATCAAATTTAGTTGGGTTATGTTATTGTTTGTCTCAAATGTCACATGAAATCTTATTTATATTGAAGTTTTTTAACAATTGTGTCGCATTTTAGACTCTTATCATTAATAATTAATCAAAACTTTCTCGTCAAAGACATCCGGATATGTCCGCCATCAGAGGCCACTTTTTTGGTCTCCTTTTCATAAGGATTAGATTCCCTCTTTTGTCTTATTTCTCGATGGGAGCAATGCAACCATTATGTGACACAAATGTCAGAAGTGCCAGATTTCCAGGTAACAACCATGATACTACAACAAAACATACATGTTGTTATAGTACCTGGGAAAAGAAAGGCCGAAGAAAATTTATAATAAAAAGAAAAAGGTAAATTAAAGCGAGCAAATAGTACAAAAAGATTTCCTGATTGAAAATAAAACTTCTTATTAAAATTAATTGTGACTTAATCTCATATAAAATTACCTATGCCAAAATTAAATCTATAAATATTTAAACTTCAAAACTTTTTTTGTAAAATCATTTCATAGTCATTCTGTCAGTTGTCACTAATGACTTTTGTTATGAATATGTCGGCTAAGATACTATTAATATATTTATCAAAAAGCTTAATAACATTAGTTTTATTACTCATAATCAAATGAATGAACGATATGACCTTCTTTGACTTTAACCATTGTGGCGGTTTTATTAAGAATATTCTGCTCAGACATAATTTAAGGGTTATCTACAAAGGATTTTTAAAAAGAAATGTAAAGTTCAGCTATCGTGCAAAATATACAGAGTGATTGTTATTATTAAGTTTATTTGAACGTTACTAAATGCGACGTGAATTGTATGTCTTAAGAATTAAACCAATTACAAATTGTACAAAAAAAAGTTACAGCCCTTTGAAGTTACAAAATAAAAATTGTTTTTTTGCATTATCTCCTAAACTACTTGACATTTTGTAATAAAATGGACACGTTACTTTCTTGTTCTGAAAGCATTTTTCCTCAGTAGAAACAACAAAATCTAAGCGCACAGAAAAAATTTAAGGGGGTGTGCAGCCCTAAATCCCCCCAAACTTTTGAGTACGTTCAAATCAAATGAATTTTGTGGCATCATTAGTTTAAACACATTATTTTTAAATTTTTTTGCCTTTATCACTTTTTTTTTAAAAACAGTTTTTATTGAGTTACGGTCCTTTTCATTAACCTTTAAAAAATTACGTGCAACTAAATAAATCGCTTAAATGAATTAACAAATACAAAAAAATGTCTATAACCTCTATAAATATGATATTACCATAAATGTTTAAAATGACCCCAATTTTCTTCAATACACAATCGGTATCGTTTTAATAAGGAAAACCGAATCGCTGAAAAATAATATTTTTCTGACGAAATTGATTTACAGTTTCCATTATTCTAACCCTCAATTTTTGTTCGTCCTCTATTGTTACAGAATACACTTTTTCTTAAACCCAAAAGAAAAGTCCATGGTGTTAAGACCTGGACTTCTGGATAGCCAAGAAATAGGTGCGTCACCCCTTCCAATCCACCGACCAGGTTACTGCCTGCAAAAGTATTCCTGCAAAGCCTATTAGATTGTTATATATAACTATAACCTGGCTACAAGCGAGTTCAGTGTAGAGAATTCACTGGAAGAATGAGGGAGGCCTATGTCCAGCAGTGGACGCGATTGTCTGATTGATGATGAAATGTACTCAGTATGATGGTTTGTTATTCCATTTCTACTGAAGGTAGCCTCGTCGGTAAACAAAATATTTCTAATAAAATTAACATTTCGAGTGTTTTTAACATCGCAAAATCCAATCCTTTTAGGATAGTCTTCAACCAATAAATCCTGAACCGTTGTTAAGTGATAGGGTTTAAGCAACTGATCCTTTAAACGCCCCCAAACCCTTACGTGAGCAACATTTAGTTAAGTAGCTATTACCCTTGTACTGGTTCCAGGGACTTCTTCAATGACTTCTGAAATGTCTTCATCAGTTGCGTCCATTATTGGATGACCACTATTGCCAGCAACTTGCGGTTGAAATGTACCCGTTTTAATGTCCTTTTGCAAATTGTTGTTGGATAATTGTCCCAAATTATTGACTAAAAAATTAGTTAATTTTTATCTCAAAAGGGATAAGTCTCAGAGACTAGTGAAGGTATAAAAAATTCTAAGGTAAAGTCATAATAGTTTTAATAGGTAATGGTTATCTAAAAAAAGTGAAGGTATAAAAATTTCTAAGGTAAAGTCATAATAGTTTTAATAGGTAATGGTTATCTAAAAAAGGTCTTTCATTATTTTAGAAAATATAGCTCAACTTATGAAAAGTCAACTCTGTTTGCAAAATTGAGGTACTTTAGGATTGGAAACTTTTTTTAATTTAATAACAGATACATTCATCTACCTATTACTATATTTTCATCCTTGATTTATTTTTTTTTTGGATCATAGTGTTCTTTGATCGAGCTACTTTTATTTATTTCTTGGAAATTAGCTGAAATATTTTATATCTACCTACTTTATGATATTTAATATATACCTGAAACAAGCGATTTTCTTTCATTTAATAGTTCCCATAAGTCTTGTTGATTACGCCCTACAGGAAACAAAGAGGAAAGTTAAAGGGCAGACGCGAGGCTTGGAGAATATTCACTAATATATAGTGGGGTTCCGAAACAAGAAAGAGCAAAGGAAGGTGTAGCAATACTGATCAAAACAAAATATAAAGATCAAATTAAAGAGTGCCAGTACATATATCAGAGAATCATCATCATCATTTTGGCTTTACAACCCTCTGTGGGTCCTAGCCTCCCCTAATTTTTTTCCAGTCGTCCCAT